GTGAAGGAACGTTTCAGTCATTTAATGGTGATAAAGTAATATGTGTTATTTTCATTTCTGAGCACAAAATTCAAAATCTGTGAATGTTGTTTCATACTAATGTATGAGTGAATGACCAAAAAACAGATAAATTTAAAATGGCAGATGAAATAAATAAAAAGAAGAAAGCCTACAGATGTTTTAAACATAGTGAAGAGAATTTATATGCAGCTGTAGAAGTAGTATGTGAAAATAAAATGAGTGCTAATAAGGTTAGCAAAAAATTTAACATTCCAAAAGGAACTTTAATAAATAAACTAGCAGACCCAGCCACGCATTGTTGTGGCTCAAAATGTATCTATTATACATGTATAACACTTCCTCTGTGGGGGGGGGATTTTTTCTAAAAATCCCTTCTTAGTGCACATTTTCTTGACGTACCCTATTAAAACGCAATCAAAATGCAAAAAACCGCATCTAAAATAGTATAATAGAAGCCAAGTTCTTCATGGTAAGCCTTAATCCTGTCCATCTCCCCCCAGTGGGGGAAATTTCGACATGTATATTATATAAAAACATGTGCATATTCGAATGCAACATTGTGTCAAAATTTCAAAGAAATTGGTAGGAACAAACGAACATTACATTTTTATTTATATAGATAGATAAAAGATGATCTGCTTTACTTCGTCCTCACAGAAAAGCAAACTTAGGTTGTCATACTCGCAGAGTTAGCACCATCTGTTAGACATAAAAGCCTTAATCCTAGATGATATCTTTTAATTTACATGAATGTTTAACGGAATAATATACAGCCTATGTCCACCCTGAAGTTCCATTCTAAATATTGGTGAAAGAATTTTTGAAATCGGATGAGTAGTTTCAGAGATTACCTCCTACATCCAAATGTACAAACTTTACCTCTTTATAATATTAGTACAGTATAGATTACATGGAAAGATACCAATAGAGCAAAAAATGGGCCTTGCAGCTACATTAACTAAAGCAGAGGAAGACAGGTCAAAAAAATGGATTGTTGGAAAAGCCAAATTGGGTTTTCCCATGCATCCTGATGAAGTAAAAGATGCAGTTCAGAAAGTTATGAAAGATATGGAATGAAAGAACCCATTTAATGATGATCACCCAGGAAAAAATGGCTAAAGCTTCTTCTAAAAAGGCACCCTAATGTAGCAGCAAAGAATACAGAAGTGATATCCAAAGCTCGAGCATCAGTTTCAGAAGAGATGATAAGGAATTAGTTTCAAGAATTAAATAATTATTTGAGAGAAGAACATGCAAGTGATATTCTGTAAAATCCTTCCCGTATCTTCAATGCAGATGAAACAGGGATATTATTTTGTCCAAAAACTGGCAAACTTCTGGAACCTATAGCTTTTAAGAACTTTTATAACATTGCATCAAGACAAGAAAAACAGTGTATCACAGTTTTGTGTAATTTTTCTGCAAGTGGCTAGTCACTGAATCCTATGATAGTGTTCTTATACTAGAGAATTCCACAGCATATTGCAGATTCAGTTTCAGATGGCTTTGCTGTATTCAGGATGGATGATATGTGCCACATTTTATGAATATGTTACAAATGTCTTCTACCTCTGGCTTCTGGATAAGAATATCCAGTTTTTTTTTTTTAATTGGAAACGTCAGAGACGATTGTATTCCACCCCCCAATAACAAAGAAAAAAAATGATCCCCAATAAAATGATTACAAAATATAAAAGATATAACAGACATAATAAAAAAAAATTATAAATTAAGTAAGACAACAGATACATTATATATTATATAAAATAGATTTACATTTATTTTTAAAAAAATTAAAATCACGATATAGATAAGGTTCAACAGGCTGTATGTGAGATGCTATACGGTAAAAAAAAAAGATCTTTGGGAAAGAGAAAGGCGGAAAAAAGGGATGAAGAAGCATGATGTATTACGAGTTCTTACAGTAGGGATGCGGAGACCTAGCCAGTAATTGAAGATTAGACCATTGAAGTATTTAAAACAGAGAATGCGGTCAATACAATAATACAGTTTCCTGTATTATTGCTTCTTGATGGACATAAATTCCATATAAATGAAAAACTGTATAATTTTTGTATTGAGAAAAGAAATCATCTTTTTTTGCCAAATGCAACTCATATTATCCAGTCTTGTGACGTTGCAATTTTTTGACCACTTAAATGTCAGTGGAGAAATGTTGTCATAAAACACAAGCAACAATCATCAAAATCAGTTTCTAAAACTAACTTTGCATCTTTATTCTTTGAAGCTTAAAAGAAAGCTTTGAAATTGGAACAATTCAACATGGGTTTGAAACATGTGGTTTGTTTCCTTTTGATCCACATAGAATGGATTAGGCAAAATGTATTTCTGCTAAGCGTAAGGAATTGTTTCCCAAAAATAAACCTGATTTATCAATTAATTATGGAGAACTATATAAATGTACACTGCAAATGATAGAAAATGAGATTCCACTTAATTTGTTATCAGATTTCAAGGAAGCCATTGCATCTGATAATAATCAGATAAATTTAGAAAATTATTATTACACTATTGCCTATCTATGAAACACATTTTTGTATGGATTATCAAACCAATAATTTCTATAACATTGTATATATGGTATTTTTGAATTAAAAACATTTTAACAATTATTGATAATATTTTTATTCCAATTTCTTAATCTGAAATTACATGACTGAATTACATAAAATTGCCAACATATATAGTATACAATGGTATAAAATTGCATATAGTATCCTAAAACTCTAGTTTCATTATTAGTCACTTGTGGTCATTCATTAGCCCTCAGCTGGTCAACTACTAGAGCCATATGGTCATTCACCAGTGAATTTTAAATTTTAAAAACATCATTTTAATTTAATCAATATTACAGAAAATTAAAAATTCACTTTTGAATGAGTAGTGTGAGTTCTTGGTAACCAGCAATGACCATTAATTATGTTAAATGTCTGTTTGTCAATGATTATATTCAAATCTCCTTTTCAAGTGCTTAATTGGTCATTTATTGGTGCAATTACCCTATTTGGGACTTAGTCTGATCCCCTGGCATTTTGCAATGCTCTCCTCCCTGTTAGATTTTATAATACTTCACTATAAACAATCACTATTAGTTTTTAAAATTAATCTGCACTATCAGTAAAAGTAGTAAACATCTATAATAATTGTATAAACATTAAACAAAATTTAAAAAATATACAGTGATTACAATTTATAAGGTCTGATTTTGAGTGATTTTTGCATTTTAAGATTGTATTTTAAAATACAGTCTTACAATGCAATAGAATAATAAGTGTAATAAGACTTACATTTTTTTTTACAATTTTAGATTTAATAAGTAAAAATTAAAATTAAATTTTGGCTGATAATATTTACATCAAAATACAGTAATACCCCAAACTTACGTGATAGGTGGGACCGAGTGATAACCGCGTAAGTCGAATTCGCATAAGTCGGGGTATAATTCCGCAATTTGTGTAAAATCCAAATCGGATATATGTAGGCTAATAAACGTTCTCGTTAATCTTATCTCGTCTTTTGATTCATTCACGGTTACAAGAAATCACCACACAGTCTCTCGAGTCTCTGTAGATATAACAAACACAGAAATAAATAACACAAAATAAATTGTAGCTATGTGTCGATTCTGCGCGACATGTCCGAACATGTAAGCTGAACAGTAGTGTGGGGGAAGTGAGTAATCAAGAGTTGTGTGGCACTCAAACAAAAGACGAATTGGCGAGATTTGAAAATCGCGTAACTCTGGGTTCGCGTAAGTCACGGCATTACTGTATATCAAGGCTACAAAGTTGTCTTCAAAATATAAATAAATAAAATGGAATGTGATGTAAAAATTAAAATTAACTCATTTGATTTGATTTGCAAAGTTTAAAGAACTGCTTATGAACTTGGTGTTTAGGTATAGTATCAAAAAATAAAAATTGATGAATAGCACTTGTGCAATCTTTACATTTCTATTATACACACCCACACATTAAGTCAATATTTCACTGTAATAGTTTTAATATTCTTATTATCAACAGTGTATCTTTATTTAAATTGTAAAAGAAAAACTTAATAGAATTTTTGAAAACCTGGAAGAACTACATGTCTAAGTACAAAATACCCCAATGTTTGCCCATGCATTAACCTAGTGTTTCTTAAACTCCACCTTTTGGTAGATCTGTTTAATAAATTTTAATGTGCCATTTATTTAATTTGCATAGTTTGCTGTCAATATATTTGCCTAGATCCTAGCTTTGTTTATAATTGTATATGCTATTCTATGATGATGAAAACATTTGCTTAAATTAAAGCATTCTTTTAATCTAAAATATTTATGTTAACTTATCAGTTTAGTGTTGCATGGCAAATTGTATGGTAGACCTACTTACTTATATGTATAATTTAATTTGCATTTTCCAAACTATGTAATAATAATTATTATATGGTTCATAAATTATGGTTTTATTTTATGTGCAATAATTTTTGGGAAATTTTGGGCCCTGAAAATATTCTGCATGTCTTTTCATAAGTTGCATTGTACCACATTATTTCTTGCTGCCTTTCAGAAGGCTACACTTGGTCTACCTTTTATTGTGAGGAAAAAAAATCAACAAGGCAGCCAAGGAAGCAAATTCCCCGAAAAACAAAACTTCCTACAAAACTTTTTGTAGATGATGAAATTAAAGTTACATAAATGATTATATTTTCATTAAGTTTGATTATTAAATTTCAGAGCAGTAATAATTCTACAATATATAAGAACCAAAAGTAAATCTACATTTTTGGATGTCTTCTATTGTGATAAACAAAATTCAAATTTTTTCATTTTACTTTCATGCAATGAAAAGGAGAGAAATATTTGCATTTTTATAAAATAATATATTTAGACTAAAGATTACGGATTCATATTTAAACATATACAGAAGGAAAAAATCAATTATATCTATAGTATCTATAAGGACTTTAAAACTTACCTTATTAATAATGTCTAATGATGCTCCAGCTTCAATTAATAGCAATACACTTTCAACTTGATTATCTTCACAACCCAAATGTCTAAAAAATTTTAAATTATTATAAAATTAAAAATTTAACTGCTTTGTCATTAGTTTTTGTTATAAGCATAATATTTAAATATTTTAAAATTATGAAGACAACTCTGCTATTCTATCAAAAAAAAGTCCAACAACTAGTATTATTTGCACCATGAATTTCATGAAAGTGTCTGATGAACATATTGGATTTACTGTGTTCTTGTTTGTATGGAGAGATAGTGAGAACAGTGGGACTTCCATTTTATAAAGTTTTATATTAGCATTTCTCTTTTCAGTGAATTATTCTATGGAATGCTGAAAATACATCTTTATATTTAAAAAATTTCTGTATACCGATAACTGTTAAAATGCTAATTTATATCTTTAACAGTTCCATTTCCAGTCAGACATCCCTTAAGGAATGGAGTGAAAACAAAAACACACCACTTTATCATCATCAAACAGTATATTGTGTGAATGTGTATTGTAAAACTCAATGGTTTTCAACCTTTTCCAGTCCAAGTACCTGTCATGAAAATGAAAATTTCATGTACCTCTACATGTCCATAAATTAAAGAGTTAAAGTTTACTTAATAACTTACATAATTAAGTTTTTAGAATCAATTATAATACAAAAATTTTATTTTGTAATTAAATACTATTAATATAACAACAATGACAAATGTTCTCATTACTGTAAATTATCTACAGGAATAATTTGCATTCTAAATAACAATGTATTTAAGAAACAAAAATCTAAAAAAATTTTGAATCACCTAGCCATAAACTTTAAAACTGAAAAAAATTACCAACTTAAAATTACATTTGGCATCCACTACAGGTAATTGTTTTTTTTTTTCTGTGTTTGTCCTAGAACTGCTTCATGTAATCAAGCTTGGGAAATTCTGGTGTAATATGAAATGGGTTTACCAAAATTATGCTCATCAGGTCTAAATTTAGTAAATGTTTGTGAACTAAACATGAACTACAAACAAGCAATTATTTATTGTGACAATATCAGGCTGCAATTTTTAATCATATTTTTAATTTATTTAATTTAAAATATATGTTCTCCACCTCAAATTAGTATTGTCTTGCCCCTATACATCATACTTTTCTGTTAGCAATGGAATTGTGCCAGTCATCTATTACAGTAGAGTGTCGTTTATCCGAAGGTCGGTTATCCGAAGGAATTTCAGTCGACAAATTTAAATTTTCGCCAGTGCTGTGGCGCTGTAATCTTTGGCTATGTCTTCGGCTACTCAAATATTTTACGATTTTGATACTAAATTAACTTCTGAAGTATAATTTTTTATTGTTTTTATATTTTTCAATATATTTATTTTGTTCGTACAAAATAAAAAAATAATTTTTAATGATACAATAGTCTTCGTTAGGCTTAACATCGACGAAAATTCAATGCGAAGCGACACGCAATGGAGAAAAATTTCAACACGGGATAAATTAATATATTTTTTCGTACATAATTGGTTATCCGAAAAATAAGTTATCCGAACAACCCCAGTCCCCAATTGATTCGGATAAACGACGCTCTACTGTAATTGCTTTCAAGGGAAAAATTGTGTGTGAAATCCGCGAATTTAATGCATTTGTCAAAAAAAAAAAAAAATGCAGTTGTCGGGCAAAAACAATGTAAACAACTCAGATAGAAAAAAACGCTCCTGGTGAGAATTAGATCGAAGGTCACCCTTTGTTATAACAATTAGATGGGAAAGTTGACACATAGGTGTCAAGAATGCACCATTAATGTCAACATGTGACAATCATATGACTCCTTTCCCACAACAACTGAACAAAAGCTCGAGCCCCCGGAAGCTCAGCGCGCATCTGCACATGGAAGTTATTTCTGTACTTGTGCCAGTCGATCTCCATGCAAAAGAATTGGATCCTGTCGGAGAAGACGCCGGACAGAAGACACAAAGGACTACCACCTCTTCCATACAGACGATGTGCCAACTCTCCATTACTCCAAGAGGTATTTACCATATTTTACGGACTATAAGACGCACTTTTCTCTTGGAAAAATTGCCTCCAAAATTCAGGTGCATCTTATACTCGAAATTAATATAAAAATGTCCAGTGTTTGATTTAAAATTCCCGAGTCTTAAAAATGGCTATATATTTGATGCTGCGGGAAACCTATCTTTATCTGGCAACATTGAATTCAACTGGCAGCAGCAGTGCACCGATGCGACAAACATGAGTTGTGGGGTGTTGGGATAGAATTGTCTGGACGTACGATTCCTGCGTCTTTTCTCTTTTCAAATGAGCAACGGCTGTTGCCGTAGAAACTCGGATTACAAGACGACAGGTGGTTCTGAATCCACGACCACAGATTGGCCAGCGATCATTGTGCGACCATTGTACGATCAGCAGACGTCCAGTAGTGTTACTAAGCATTGATTGGTGAATCAGCGTTTGCTTCAATCCATATAAAAGGATTGAATTTAGGCGGTAAAAATGGTAAAAATGTTATTTTTTTAAAAAATTGCTTAAAAATTAAGGTGCATCTTATAGTCCGTAAAATACGGTAGGGGATATTTTAGAACTTGTAAAATTGCTCTCTCTCTCTCTCTCCCTAAAGTTAGGCAAGTGACATAGACGAGAATAGTCACCCATTTTATGTAGATAGTGTAGTATAATCGCATTTAACCTTAGTATTCTTTTTGCCTCCTGTAACTTAGATTTAGTTATACAATAAATGCTTTGTTTATTTGTTAAACCTGACTCCTGTCATTGAAGATGCACTCCCCACTCACTTTTTGCCCTCCTAGCCATCCGACGACTCCGAGACCAGGTTTTACCAGCCTGTGCAGTGTAAGTGGTCAGGAAGGATTAACCCCTAGCCCTCTGCTTGTCTCACATTTGAATTGAAATCATGTGACTTCTGGTTTGCATCAGAAGTTTGTATATAGTTAATTGGGGCCTCCTGCTTCTAAGGTTTCCATATCTGGTTTAATTTTTAATCTATCTAATTCTGTTCTCAAGATTAAGGAAAGACAGATGGATGACAGTAGGAATTTATAGGTCTACAATTTTTTCAAGTTGTAACCCAAATACTTTGTGCTTTCCTGAAAACAATTTGTTATATAGAAGTACAGTTATATATTGTTTACAGAACTTAAATAAATGAAATAAAAGGCACAAGGTGATTGAAAGAATGATAAAATAACCTACAAATAAAAGTCAATACTGCTAATTTTAAAATATTGAAAAAAATTCATTTTTAAATTGTCAGACTTACAATGGTGTGTTTCCTGCACAGTCTTGAGGTTGAAGATCTAACTTTTTCTGTGAAAGAAATAATCTTACTATTTTAGAATTTCCTTTAGAAGCTGCTCTATGTAATGGTGTACTACCCATGTGATCACCTATATTAATGTTAGCATTGTATCTTAATAATAATTCTGCAACCTGTCATAAAAATAAAAAATAAAAGATTAGATAAAAGTGTAAACAAATAAAAAAATTTATGACATTTTAAAAATAAATTACGATCATTTTTGTTTTTTTTCTTTAATTAAGTATGAATATAGTTTTATAATTTATAAACATTTAACTGAATAACAACTAAACTTAAAATTTTTTACCTCAAATTTATTTTTGGAGGCAGCATAATGTAAAGCACATTGTCCCATTTGGTTCACAGCATTAACATCAGCACCTTTTTCAATTAATGCTAAAACAATATCTTCTCTACCAACTGACGATGCTATTATCAAAGGAGTCCATTTTGACTACAAGATAATAATTATTAATTTATTTGCACATACTTTTTGATAATGTGACTTAATTATTAGTATATTTATAAATTTTAAAAGCTATTGTTATATATGTTATATATGGCACTATGGCCCAAGACAAATCAAGTTATGCACTTGTTATCTTACCTAATTAGTTTCTTTTATCAATATTATCCAATAGCTAGCATAAAAAGTTCTGTAATTTATTACAGAAAAATTTTTAAATCTGATATATCCAACAGCATTTCTTGTAAGCAAGAAAAATTACCCCGAAATACCCACATCTAACCACTCTCTTCTCCTTCTGCAGGAAGTCATTTATGAATGATATATAGTAGAATCTGAGATAACACAAAATAATACTGTATTTATGACAGCTTTTATGAATTATATGAAAAGTAGTTTATTCATTTATGGGTTAATTAGATAATGCAAAACCTTGGTTAATTGAGGTTCTACTATATTTTGTCTGTTCTTTAAAGTGTTTGATTTTCTCATACAAGCTCTCAGATTACCAGTTTCAGTTATAAAGGTTACAATATACTCAAGACCTTAAAGAAATAATTTTTAATCAAGTGCACGTATGCTGCAACCTTTATAATTACAATATTACATAAATACACATATTAAATGAAGCTTAAATAAATAGGTTATTATACCAATACTCTTGTTAACAGTGCAAATGACCGAAGATTACAAGAAATGGATTTAACTTTGTGAAGTAATACTTAATGTTAAAATTTCCAAAATTATGAAACGAATTACCCATCATAGTCAAAAATACCCAAAAATAGGGTAATCACCAGCACATTGGCAATGTCAATCTCTAAATCAAAAAGATACAGCTGCCAGTAAGATTGCAGATGCAAATGACATTGTTGGGACCTTAATAGAGCTGGGGTCCTATTCTGAGCTCTTCTGATAACTCAACGAGAGCAATACATGGGAAATTTGATAAGTCCCCTTAGCAAAAGGCAGTTAATGAACCTTAGACAAATTGCTATTCTGTGCTCCACGTTAAGTGGGTTTCGCTACGAGTAGTTGGTTGAGCTGCATCTGGGTTCCACACTATCAATAGCTATTATGCTTTAACCAATCACAGTTTAGTTAACATCGTATTCTTGTCACGTGACAGCAACCCGCCATTTTCTAAGCAAAGCACATGGTTTTAGCATTGTCATGTATTTTTGTTATAAAATGTCAAAGAAAGGACAATGAAGCCAGCAAACTACAAGTTGCCAGTTTGAGATGCTTGTTAATTTTATGGAAGACAACCCTAAATTAATGTCAGGGAAGTTAGATGCTCCCTTTACTATAAAAGATTGCCAGAAATTGTGGCAAGAAATAGCCAATCGTCTGAATTCTGATGAAGTCGGCTCACAAAAAGATCCTGAAAGATGGCGAAAAGTAACTGATAGCTTTGAATATAAATATGTAAATATCATTTTAATTTATACAAATGCGGATGAAACCTATTTCAGAAATAATGTTCATACTATAGTTACTTACTTTAAATTTTAACAAGAAAGCAATTACATTATTCATACAATATTCATAAATAGTTAAGGTTATTATTTTTAAGCAATACAACAACATAGTTTATTAACTCTCTCTCCAATTGCTCGTGAAGTAAAACTGTTCTTACACCAAAAGACGCCGAGTTGTTTTCACTTTCGTTATGTTCCTAATGGCAGCTTGAGTGTGATTGATAACAAAAGCTTAGTTATCACATTTGGCTATCAGAATCGAAAACAAAACGTATGGCTTGGAATAGCATTTTCACAGTTGATTAAACGCGAATCACACGGTTCCAATAGAAATTGGTTTTTATCGTATTTGTTAGCTTAACGATACTACTCAGAATAAGTCCCCTGTAGACCATGCCCTTAGGAACAAAAAAGTCAAAGGAACCATACCTTTATATGTGACCCTTAACAAGATATAGTCCTCTCAAAATTAGCCTACTTCCAGGACTACAGGAAGTCACAACGTGCATTCTGTCAAGCCTATCACACATTTAACAGGCAGTCCAGTATGGTGGTCAGACATTCTAATAATATTTATTAGTAAATAGTAAAGAAAACATGCAACACTTTGTGAGATATTCACCTCCGAATGTGGAACCCCACCGGTGGAAGTTCCAGTCGCCATCTTTCTTATAGACATTGTGTTTGCAAGCAAGTTACGTATTAGACATGGCAATCAGTGGTTTAACAAAATGCGTCAACTTCTACTGGCCAAAACAGTTTCTATCCCAAATCAGTACTAATGCCTATTCTCCACGCTCCTGTGTCAGTGAAGGCAAGCAATAACGAGCCTTAACTGATGCTCGCAAACTCATGCACTTGGCACTCACATTTCAACACCTGCATCCCCTAAACTGTAAAACATCGAGAATAGTCAAGTGGGCCACTCATACCCGACATTGTCTCCCGGGTTAAACAGTTAAATGCAATAGTTTAGTGGAGCATGCAGCACGACTCCTGATTGTGCCCCAGAAACAGGCTGATTTCGGGGAGCCGTCCGTATCTTGCGAAGGGCCACAGGTAGAGGTACAGTTCCCTAGACTTTTTTGTTCCTACGGACACTCTCTACATCTCCGTTAATACCCCAGCAGTGTCATTCACATGTGCAATTGTGCCAGAGGGTTAATAACTGTTTTAAATAAGTAATAGGTGAGGGTGACTGACTGACATAACTCACATCGTCTTTAGCGTCTACTTCAGAGCCCAGCTGCAAAAGATAATCCACAATATCTTTTCTACCTCCAGAAGAGGCCCAATGAAGAGGAATCCTTCCCGCCTATAGAAGTAAACAAACTTACTATTAATTAACAAAATGCCAAAGATAAATATCATACTACGTTACAAACGAACAATTTACCGAATCCGTAGCTCGAATTAAGTCGTTGTTTTCTTCTATTTTACTTTTTAGCCGACCGGTTTGTCCCTCGTAGGCCAACTTGCATATTTCCAACTCCGACATTTTGAATTTGATACACGGAAATGACGATGAGACTCACTTCCTCCTCGATTATTTATTTATTTAATTTTATATATAAAAATTATTGTCGGAAATGTTAAAAATATTTATTATTATAATGTTTTGATATAAAATTAATATTATATAACTTATATTTTACATTATTTATTTTTTGCGTTTATAGTTTTTTTTTTTTTATTTCTTTCCGGTCTATGGGCTAAAGAGCCTCTGTGTGCTACAGGGACTTTTAAGCAAGCCTATTAAAAATTTAACCAGGCCCGGGTGGTAATGGACGGGCCGCACATATCCGGGAGGACCACCCCCCGAAAAATTATTTCGATCCGTCAGGACTTGATCCCAGGTCCCCCTCTCCCAGAGCGATAGGTTGACATACTAATTGCTCGACCATTTGGCTGTCCCTGTATATAAATTATTATTAAAAAAAACCAATACATAAGAAACATAAGTTACCTTACAACCTCTCACTCCGGAAGACCTGGGTTGGATTCCGGTCGGGTGGAAAAACCTCATGAATTTTTGGGAGCGGTCCGTACGAATATACTAAGCTCCATTCCATCACCACTCGACTGCCCTATCGTAAGCCTGACCGAATTCATAACGGGCTTGCTAAAAAAAATCCTCTTAGTGTCCACAGAGAGGAAAGAATTGAAATGGGCACGTTGCCTGATAAAGCGGCTTTAACACGAACAAGCCAATGATATAGCTCTTTCACTAGAAACGGAGTACGAGATTGATTTGATTATCCAATTGTATTAAAACCGCTTTATCGGGCAACGTGCGCGATATACAGAATAGATACAAGAACAGTACTGTATTTTAAAATTTTTCAAATATTATTAACGGATTAAATAATTTATGTAATTAATAATTTATTACAGAATTTTATTTTAAAAAATAAATAAGATATTATTAAAAGTATTAAAATTCATTAAAAATAATCTTCAAATTTTTATATTTTAGCGGTTAGGTGTCAGGACGAGCGCTGTTAATTTCGGGCAGTGAATCTGCAAAACAATCGAAGTGGTAAGTAGGTCCGAAATCAATTTCTTTTCTTCCTGATTTATCAGTTTGATCGCTTTGCGACTAATTAAACTTTCCACTTCCAACCTAGTTTTAATATAATTGAAGTTGTGTTAGAAGTAATTGCAAGTCATATCAATCAAAATGGCGGAGAGTTCATTTACCGATGCTGGTCGATTGATAAAAATGGAAGTGGATTACAGTTCAACTGTGGACGAAAAACTTCCAATTTGCGAAAAATTAACCAAGGTAAGTCTTTTATTTATATTAAACAATGGTAAGTATATTTGGCCACTTTACAAATATTTATAAAATTTATTCTAAAATAAGCCATTTTACATACTTAATAAAATGGCTATGAAAATTAACCTCTAGGATTTCTCTCTTGTCGTCTTTGTATGGAGTTGTAGACTTGGTTGCCGATTCTCCCGGGAGACTCCCAAAATTTGGTAACGATGGCTGTATTTGGTTGACTTGATTGTTCTGTATTTTTCTGCAGAATGCCTTCTACAGTAGTGCCGTTTTGAAATGTTTTTGGTATTTTCTCATGCTTATTAGCGTCTTTCGTTTACGCTACTTATTGCTACCCGAAACTGATTGACGATGGCCGCTTTTTGTTCCGACGCCTACGTTGCTTGTCATTTGGCGGACGTAACTACGTAACGGCTACCGATTGAAACGTCTTTGCTCGGTTACATCTGTCGATTCTGCCGAACACAGCCAATTTTTCTTGCACTCTTAAATTGAGGTCTATTTGTCTTGTATTTATTTTATGAGATCTACTTTTCAGTTATATGTTAAACAGACTAAAGAATAACTTGCTTTTGATATTGCTGAAAGTAAACAATGTCAAATCTCCCAAAACTTTATTCTTTGAATGGAAATCTCTGAGTTGACTGTTTGGGAATGGTATACAAGCTTAGTTGTAGATTGTTTGGTACTTTTTGGTTAATGGCAATGGGTAAGATTGGAGCTCTGAATGAGGAGTTTCGCACTACCCCAGAATTGTTGACCTTTGTGAGATATTCACCTCCAAAGGTCAGTTTTTAATATGTATCAGTATGCTGCCTATTCTACATGCTTTCATTTAGACATGTTTGTTGTCACTCACACTTTGGTGCCTGGGTGGGAGCAAGCTTCCACCTGGACACCAAATAATTATATAACATCAAGTACTTCATGGACAGTCAAGTGGCTACTTGATGGTGGCATAGTTTCGTGTGGGCTAAATAGTTAAATGTGATAGTCTTTCATGATAGTCTTCTGGAATTCCGTTGACTGAAAAGTACTGATGGATTCTTATATAAGCAAAACATCAAAAGAAACTATGGGTCTAGGAGTGGTCTATTATATGTTTTGCTAGTTTTTCTTGTATCCAATTCAATGTGAAAAAATTTTTTTAAAGAAAAGATAAACTTTCCTCAACTTGTTCAGGCTACCTGCCTGTAAGTTTAGTGCTACTGATAGAGACCTTATGCAGTAAAATAGTGACCTTTGTAGTTACAGAGTTACGACTGAGCTAACATGGAAAATTTGGTAAATTTTTTGTCTGGAATAAAGAAGCAAAATATTTGTAGCATGATAGGATGTAATAATTCTTATAGTAATACCATAGAGTTAGATTTTTTTCTGAATGAAAAAAAGACCCAGTTAGAAGAAAGGCATGGATTAATGCTGTACAAAGGCTTTACTTTTATTTGTCCATCTTCATTAATTATAAAAGCATTCCTAATATGCTTTCTTACCACACCGGGTTGTATATACTCCAAACCAACAACTACCTACAATTAACCATTAACTGGTGCGAAATTCTTTAAAATCGGCGAACATTTTCGATTCCCCTCCTGGGATCTTCTTCAGGCTTACTTCTTTATAGCTTTCGTTATAACCGGATTCTTTAATTCGAATGTCTTTGAAAAAACGTAACGTGCCATTTTTCGAAAAAATTTCCGAAAACGGAAGGAATCCACGTGTTATTTGAAATGTAATTTTCTACCAATGGGGAATCGTTGTGTGCATTACGTCATAAAATTTATTTTATACAATATATTATGATTTATCATCAATTAAAAATTGCCATGCGGCAGAGAGATTTATTTCTTCTTTGAAATTAATGCATGCGGATTTACAATCGGCTTTAAAGATTTCCAGTGCCTCCAAAGTTCTTAGTTGTTCCGTGTGTTGGGTGGTGCGAATAACATGCGCTTCATCGAAGAAAGGTGTGATGTCCGAGTTTGTCGCATACGTAGATAGGGCCGTCGTACACTTATTATGTTCGATGTCTGATTTATGTTCTTTTAATCTTGTGGCCAATGAACGCTTGGTGGATCCGATATACACTAAAGGTCTATCCCATCTGTTATCTTTTAATGGAATACTGTATATCCCTGGCAGCCTATTTG